AAATTGGAGAGCAAAAAAAGAAAATTCACCCAAAATGATCATTTGCAATTCACGCGAGAAATAGCTGCTGCGGTAACAGTAACACGATGTAGGAAAATATGCCAAAACTGTGGGGCTGATAGTAACTGCGGTCGCAAAAGCGCGCTCAGCCAATTTATTCCATACGCGCGTGGAGCATTGCGTACAAATTCATTTTATCAACAAACGTAAGCCGTACTACACTTGAAGGGGCGTACATACCGAATGTGACTACAATATTATACGTCTAATTTTGCTCTACGTTCCTCCTCGTTTTCCTTTTCTTCTCCTCCCCGCATAAATGCATCCACGTTTTTGAGCTCATGGAGGTGCGTATATAATTTTGCAAAGCACAGAATAACAAAGAGAAGAAGGCTTTCTCTGTGATGCGTAAAATGTAAGTATATATATTGGTGTTGGTGCCACGTGGTACATTTTAACGATTTTGGGAATATGACATCTGTAAATGTTTTACTGCCATGTGGATCTCTATGCTTTTGTTTTGACAAACAAACTTACTTCATGGCCAGTCCGTCTGAATGACCTTAATTTCTCGCTTCTATAACAAATGTACTCCGTACTTCGAACGTAGCATCGTGTACTTTGCCTTTGACTGTCGTATTTCGGTGCGCGCACGTGTATCCATTTATGTACGTTGTGCCATGTGTACCTTCCTCGAGTGATTAAGGTGTGTCAATAATAAGAGAAGTGGGTTACACGTGCACAAGATGTCATCGTCACTCGCAGGTATAAAGTCACGCTCTGCTCAAGTGGATCGACTCAACTGGCTGACGCGTGCATGACCTTTACTACTGCGACATTGAGAGGCTATGGCTTTGAGAAACAAAGAACCACGCAAGTGCAAGCCAACGATTATCAACGATTTATTGGTAGCCTCTCATTAGCCACACTCACTTGTTTCGATAAAAAAAACCTACTAAAAAAAGTAATGCAAAGTAATTCAGGTAATTGTAGATCAACGAGTTAAGGTATAAAGAAAAAGTTTATAGAAAAAGAAAAAAAAAAAAAAAATGTGTATAAGAATTTCAAACGTGCTTGCGGAGATTATACGTGCAGTCTCCTATTCTACGTACTAATGAGCGCATACGCGTTTGTACGTACGAGGGAAAGAGAGAGAGAGAATAAGAAAGGTAGAAAATTGTCTTGCCACGGCTTTTACGAAGTTAAAGAACTTTTCTTGGGCTCACGTACCCCAGTTCAGAAAAATCTCATTTCCAGCTCATGCACCACCCAATGAACACAGTATCCTTTTGGTCAACTAGTTTTCCAACTCGTTTTTGGACCTCAAATGTGTATTTTCTTTTCCCAGTTGTTCAATTATTTATTATTGGTTTTCATTTTACAAAAAAACCCTTGCATGAATATCTACTTACGCGTCAGTGGTTCGACCATTATCTTGGGCCTACGGTTAAATTTCTACTCTCCATGTACGTTTCCATTGAAATAGCGAGACACCTTGCAACTAATCTTACCCTCTTTGCCTATCAAATCCTCCCACCCCCCACCTCCCACTCGTTTTCCTTATTGAGTTACAAGCAAAGTTTTACCCGTGAAGAGGGTACCCAAGGCACACAGGGACGTCGCTTCCGGCTAATAAACTCGTGTCTAATATTCACCAAGAATATTACGTGCACACATGTACGCGCTCGCAGCAGAGCCTGTAGTATGGGGTCGCAAAATTAATAAAGCGAGGAGCGGAAGAAACTTGAACCGAAGGGAGAAACAGACAGTATAGGAGGGGGCCTGGCTGTACGAAACGTCGTCGCGAGACATAAACGCACCTGGTCTGTGGCGTTAGTACGCTAGGCTAATAAATAGCCAAAGTTTAGGGGTAATAATAACACCGCCCCCCCCCCACCTCCCTTCATCTTCTTCTTCTCCTTTACACTGCATTTGCACCTTTTGCACAAGACTCCCCAGTATTCCGGTATTCCCGTAACAGACCGTCTAAAGGGGGGAGGAGGACGACTCGGGGGATCAAGAAAACAGAAGCAAATTGCAACCCTGCGTCTGTCACAGCCGCGTTTCACATTCTTCTTTTTGCGCTTCCGATGCAGGGGGAACTTTGTCGGCGACGCGCAAACGAGCACCTGCTCGCGATTTCACGCACTAAAGGAAAAACATCTTAGTCGACAGTTACAGTGAAAACACTGCACCAACATCTGTTTGAAGACCTTTGGGGCGCTATAAAGAAGTTATCGGGGTACAACGAGTCCCTCCTTTTTTTTCTAAAAAGTACGATCCACCGCGTTGTGTAAAATTGCACTTTGGCACGTGGGTCAACTGGAAATGCCCGCGAGCCGTGGCCGTCTGGGACCGGGTTTTGATGACACTCCAGTTGACATGTGCACGCTTTAACACTTCACTTTTCGTGGCTCTACATCGATGCTATGCACATATACGAGCCTAAAGAATCAATGTCTCAACGTTCGGGGAAAACTATGTAGGTGCTCTCGGCAATGTTACTTTCGGAGCGCATTGATCGAAAAATTGCCGATGGAGAACTCTGTGCCCAGACCACGTTCGTCGACTAAACGTCGCATTCAATAACAATGAAAATAAATTCGATTTCTTCGCTCCCGTTCGGAGGCCAAATGAAAAGAGGACGGGTGTGGGCGTCGGAGCTCATTTTTCCTTAATTATTTAATGGGCAGTCCACCGCTCGCCAATTCCAACCAAACGAGAACGAAAGAAAGAGAGCATTGGAGGAAAATGCCGGGGGAATAACAGTCACCGGGACAGCTAACGATGACAAAAGCGGGACGAGCGTTCTTTTTGGCTAGCAGCTAACTACAAAGTACGTCTAAAGTCATTTTTCTTTTTTTTTTTTTTTTTTTTTTTTTTTCCNAAAAAAAAAAAAAAAAAAAAAAAAAAAAAAAAAAATGGGTACGCGAGAGCTCTCGACAAACCTGGTGGAATATAGACAATTTTCTTGGTCACATTGTAGCTCACGCTCGGGATTCCCAGCATACAGTTGATGACCACCGAATCGGGGAGTTCTGTGTTGTCTAGTGTGAGGTACGACACGATGTTGTAATGGCCGTCTTCGGTTTCCATGATTATCGGCCTCGGCGACTGCAGCTACAAAGTACGTTTAAAATTTCTTTTTTTTTTTTTTTTTTTTTTTTTTTTTTTCTTCCCATTTTTTCTTTGGGCTAACTCAGTAATGTCACTATACCCCCCTTGGACACCCCAAAAATAAGGCAGATCCAAACGCGTACTTGATATTGCAATCGAGCAGTATACGAATAAGGGCCATGGGGCGTACACACAACAGCCACGAGAGCGCGTCGTGGCATCGATTTTCCGTCAATGGCAGGCTACACGGGCCCAAGCCTCACAAGTTCGGATATGATGAGCCATATCGTAGCGCGATTCTTCGTGTCGCATTCGTAACTTCCCACTCCCCGGCACAGTCGAGTGCAAGCTGATTCCACTGTGTGTGCTTACTTGCGCAATACTCGCCATTCGCGTCAAGTTCCACGATGGGATTCCGGAGAGCTAATGCGCGCGTGTCCTTCGATTGGCATTGCCATCATCCCGTAGCCCATTGTCTCGCGCGACTGCCGGAGTTACCTGCTCTGCCCGTGACGTTAAATTTGTAGGTTCGAGCTCGGTTTGTCCGGTAAAGGAAAAAAATACGCGTGTAACTGTAACAAGTGGAAATTACTTCGGGGGTGGGGGTGAACGGTTTGTTTGGCTGTAGCTTGAAACGGATGCCCGAGTCCAAATAATCCAGCCAGAGGCTCATTCTATTATTTTTGAAAAACAACCTGTCGCGCAAGTTTGGTTCAGTTGCTCAATATACACATGTCGTAAAATCTCCAGAGATAAAGTTTGATTGGGTCTCCCGAACACCGGGCATTGGAATTATAGATTTTGCAGAGGTTCGCAGGTGTCGACCGACGTTCAAGCACAGCAGCACACAAAGCATCGCGAGCAATTTTCAAGCGTGGCTGCAGCGTTGTTAGTTGCAAAATCGCAGCGCAGGAGCAAGCAAGCGAAGGTATAATGCCACCGAGTTGCGCTTTGATTCTCGGATTTTTTAAACGAAAGCTCAACGTCCGGAAGCACGTGTAATGAAGGTGAAAAGTCGAAAAATGATCATCTAATCTGATTGTCTCCTGGAACTTGTAATTTTGGTCAATAATGACGCTCGGATGTGCAAAGCTAGAAGGAATGCAACCCTCGAGGGTCACAGAGAAAGGCGGTGGAAGGGGGAGCATCTTAGAAGTAATGGGTGCGTTTTCGCTCAGTTTTCGCTTAAAGCGAGCCAGCTCCTCCTTCCTCGTTTTTGTTTTTTGGCATTCTTCCGTGCACGGTGATTTGCGAGGCAAGGGGATTTTAAGATCAAGGGAGCAAGCGATTTTGGCCGGCGGGCAGCGAAGAAGCGACTTTGCCAATTGGAATTCTTTGCATAGCCGTGTCGGCAAGTTTTCGCCTCCGGTTTCTTTCGACAGGCCTCAGGAAATTGAGGTCGAAATGGCCCGTCAGATAGGAAGGTTGGTGGTCTCGGATATGGTGTCCGGGTGGCGCGATGCTGGCAACAGTGGTGATTCTCGTGAAACGATAAGCCAACAGCAAGAAGCGAAAAAACCAACTACTTGCGTAAATTTTACTGTTCGAGTTCTGCGTGGATGTGTATTGTGACGTCATGAATCGAGAAAAAACTGTCTCAACGTTGGGACTGGAAAGATGTAGTACGACAGCGATTATGATGCTATTTGCTCCAAGCAAGTCTTGAAAAATGTTAGATAATCGGATACAATCGTATGATGAGCCAATTTTTTTTCTGATTCCCAGGCGTCGACTAATAATCGATAAAGTGCGTGTAAAGTGTGTGTCGTAGTAAAAATGAATGGTTGTGCAGTCGAGGACAGGATATTTGATATCAATGGTCAAAGAGTACATTGGAAGGTGGGGTAAGTTTGTCTGTGTCATGTGATAACTGGTAGTCTTACCACCACCACTGCTAGCGTCGGCTTGTGAATTGTCAAGTGCCTGGATCTCCATTTTTCGCAGCAGCTTTGTCGTACCGCCGGCAGTGATTGCGATAGCCGTGGTAGTAGGCCTTCCTGCGTAAACAAAACACGACATACCGCGTCCATCAAGTATAAGCGTGTACACACACTCGTGCAAAAAGCCAAAGTAATGTTAAGGCTGATAAACGTGTTTTGCGCAGGTTATGGAAAAAGAAAAAAAAATTCATTGTTTGGGATGATTTTGCTTAAAATTAACATTATCACGAGTACTTAATGATGAATGAACTGATATATGATTAAAGAAATTTTTCAAATAATATAAAACATGTTTTAAACACAATTAATTGTCTATCAATGTCTTGGAAAAGATTTTTAGATGATAAGCAATTCAAATCTTCAAAGCAGATTTTGCAGCCAGTGCTGCTATTGAGAACAAAAAATTCATACTGAATGCAAATAGCAGTTTGGGCTTATCTACTTAAAAAGCATCAAATAAACATCACATGGTAAAGAACGAGTATTATTCATGTATATTAATCAATTATTCACTAAAGTTTCAACTGCGATTGCATCCGTCAATTTTCACATTTATGAAACTAATGCAACATTCATAGCCCCGATAAATTATTAAAAAATTTTAATGGTTATTAGATCACGTAAAAATTTCACGGCACTCGCACCCATTAGATTAATATTTCAGTAATAATCCAAATAAGCATCAGCAGCGATGTATAACATTCAGCTCAGAGTTACGAATACGTGAATATTTTACATGAATTACTCAGTTGAAATTTGGCTGCAGTACAACGATACACAACAGCGGAAAAATGAACGGACCACGGTAATTCAAATGAAAACATGCAGCATAAAATTGCATATTTTCATTGCATATGGCAATGAGAAATAACTTCTAACCAATAAAAGAATTAAAAAAAAAAAAAAAAAAAAAAAATGGGTACGCGAGAGCTCTCGACAAACCTGGTGGAATATAGACAATTTTCTTGGTCACATTGTAGCTCACGCTCGGGATTCCCAGCATACAGTTGATGACCACCGAATCGGGGAGTTCTGTGTTGTCTAGTGTGAGGTACGACACGATGTTGTAATGGCCGTCTTCGGTTTCCGTGATTATCGGCCTCGGCGACTGCAGCTTCGACATACCCCTGAAAACACCAGCAATGTACAACCGTCACACAACTGAGCCACATTAACGAAAGAACAGCCGGCTATACTCGATAAATCGACCAACTCGCGGAACTCAATAGCACCGGCCAAACTGTACGAGTCGCTATAGTTTTCCCGAACGGTGGGTCTTGCACTAATAACCGGAGTAGTTGAAGCTGTACACATCAGCAACTTTGTTCATAAACATCGGCTCTTCGCAGCTTCTGGATGTACTTACACCAACGGTACGGCATCGCACGTGGGCATAAAATACTTAGTTTCGAGTGCGCAGGGCCTCGTATACGCGTAGTAGCCCGTTGATTATCGCTCGGAAGCTCGGGAAAGTTGAGACGAACCATAGCTGCGTAATTGCCTCAAGTGCTGCTAACGCAAATTTCCGAGCTACGTGCACCGGATCCTTTTTAGTCTAAAAACTCCACTTAGCAAGCGATGCTACCCTCTTCTATCGGGTGCTTTAATGAACTTGTGGACGGTGTGACAGTGAAAATGAAATTTTCGGCTTACCCCTCGGCTCTATCTCTTTTCACGACACGTAATAAAGGCAGATGGAGAGTTTCAACCCAACTCGAGTTAAATGACCCATTAACATGATAGGAAGCGTTTTGATTCGGTTCTTACGGACAATTGATTCGAGTAGGCACAACTATTGTATCGATGCTCACGTCGATTTTTAATACTTACTCGACGCTGATATCGAGGGTTGGCTTGGGATACAGTCCAACCGCCTGGCAGGTCACTTCAACGCTGTCGTCTCCGTTCTGACCCATTTTTCTGTGCCACAGTTTGAATTCGTCCTCTCGGCCGGTAGCTATAATAAATAATAAAACGTTCGGCGTAAAGGGCTGAGGATTACATTTTTAGCTCTAGTTTATCGATTGCGATGTAAAATGTTTTGTGAGTAATAATAATCAAATACTGTCAGACGCTAAATTTAATCAAGTTTTTTTTCAAAGTACACGTGCAATCCACTTCTTTAAAGTGTAAATAGTAATAATCAATTAAATAGTGTGGCACAAAATCAAATCCAATTTGATAATCAATTGTTTATGACCACACAAAGTAATCAAAACCTTATCTTCAACGATACTTTTATCTGCAAGTAGTAAGAATCTAGTATGGTCAGACACAACATTTATTAATTTTTTTTAACCAGGACGTATTATGTCAACTGCTTCGATCTACAAGCAGTAATAATCGAATGTTGCGAGACTCTGAATAAAATTTATTTTGATTATCAAAGCCTACTGAACCGTACTACTGATTAGTAAGTAAGTAGTAGCAATAAATTATGGTCAGACAAAAAATCAGTTTCGATAATCAGACCTCATCTCATCAAATAACTTCTTTAATCTGTTACTAGTCTCAACTACTGCTTCAATGTAAGTAGTAATAACTATTTGTTGTCAGGCACAATATAAAATTTTCTTTTATCAGAAAATTTTTTATCTATAAGTAGTAACAATCAAATCAGGTTCATAATGGAATTAATTTCGATGATCAGAATACTTCTCAACTACTTATTCTATTATCAAGTGGTAACAATCAAACACAAGATAAGACATAAAATTAAAAATTCTATCATCAGAACTTATTGATGACAACTACTTCCATGTGTAAAATAAGTAGTAACAATAAAATACCTTCAGACACAAAATCAGAACCTATACTTATCTGTAAGTAGAGAAAATAAATTATAGTCAGACATGTGATAGAATTTCGTTATCACTTCAGCAGTGGCAATCAATTAAGGTCAGCCACAAAATGGAATTCATTCGGTATCTAAGAGTATCAAAGAGTATCTAAAAAATATCTATGACAGGAAAGACAGGTTTGGACTCAGCTTTCCTTTTTTGCCTATCTCAAACAACTACATTTGTAAGTCATGTATGCAGGTAACTCTTTCATGTAAAATTTTATGCTTAAAAGACCTAAAGGGTGAAATGAGCAAAGGCCAGTTCTTTAAAGAGACATTTTTTTATTCTGATATGGAACCTACTTTTAAACTATTGCTTTGATACACGTAGTAACAATGAATCTTGGTCAGACACATTATGAAAGTTCTTTCGATTATCAAAACTTATGTGGCAACTACTTCGGAATTGTAGTTGTAAGTGGTGCAATCAATTATGGTAAGACCCCAAAGTTGAACCATTTTGATAATAAGAACCTACTCTTTATATTTTTGTTTTGTCAGCAAGTAGTAATAATGGAACATGGTCAGACACGTCAGACACCCATTCAAAAAATTAATTACGATTATCAGACTGCTGTTTTGATGCGTAAGTAGTAAAAATTAATTATGGTCAGACACAGGATAAAATAATTATTCGCCAGAATTTACTCATCTTTAAATTGTAACAGTTGAGTATAGTCAGAAATACAATAGAATCAATATTTTTACTACTACAGTAATAGCGTTGCGGTGTAATAACCAGTGTGCTCATTTATATTTTACTTGTTTGGTTTTTTTTTAAATTTTCTTTCGGCATACTTACATTAATCCTGAAAGATCTTACCACTTTCTAGAATAAGCTTTTTTAAATTAAGAGTACTATTAGAAATATGAGTACAACAACCAACTTGACAAGAACATTTTAAGAGATTGAAACCAAGAGAAACTCATTCACACGCTGCTGACTATGCACGCCTCAATAAAAACAATTTTGTCCACGCTTTTGGGTATGTACGTATACATGAATGCCAAAGGGCAAGAAGAAGCCATTCTAATTTTTCAAGTAAAAAAGCATTTGCACATCAATTTTGGGAGCAGAAAATAGTTACCTTGGGAAATGTATCGTTTTGAAAACGTTTTCATGACAGAGTCAAATGACATTTTTATTTCTTCGAGCCAAATAATGAGAAGCTTTTTGCAATCGAACAAAAAAAAATTCCAAAAGAATAAACTCAATTAACGCTTCCTCATTTTGCTAAAGTGATACTGAGGTTTGAATAATTAATTGAAAATTACTGTACTATTCTCAAGATTCGGTAGGGCTCTGAGACTCCATTTGGCGAACTACCATCGCTATGATAAATCAAGGCATGGATAAGTATCCTCACAACACAGGTGGCGACGATGCATAAATTTAAGAACGAATGAATTGCAGAGTTCATCTAAAACCAACACTTTCACGGTGTACACGTATAGACGCGACGTCGGGCAAACTTTCCCAAAACACGAGACACACGTATATAAATATATGTACATATATATATAGTACAACGATACACAACAGCGGAAAAATGAACGGACCACGGTAATTCAAATGAAAACATGCAGCATAAAATTGCATATTTTCATTGCATATGGCAATGAGAAATAACTTCTAACCAATAAAAGAATTAAAAAAAAAAAAAAAAAAAAAAAATGGG